AGGCAGAAGCAGGTGGATCTCTGTGAGTTCAGGGCCAGCCTTGTGTACAGAACAAGTTCCAGAACAGCCAGGGCTACACAGGGAAACCCTGTCTTGAAAAACAAACAAACAAAAGAATGAGTTTGAGGCCAACCTGGGCTAGATGAGCCCCTGTCTTGATGGGAGACGGGGAGAGGGCATTATGGAGGAAGACAGGTTCTTAACTATCCTGAGAAAAGCCTGAAAGAGGAAGGCAAGGCCTGAGTAGCTGTCTTCTCCCACTGTCCTTTCTCTGTATCTTCTGCTCTTCTCTCCCCAGATCCCAGTGGTAAAAAAGATCCTTTCTTTGGAAACCCACCTACAAAGTCAGTCCTACATTAGATGATGTTGTGACACAGTCCACCAGTGGTGTCCCTCACTCCTAAGGACCCTGTAAAGCAGGCAGAGGTCGAGGTTCTGCAAATCCCTACGAACCACAAACAGTTCAGAGGCCCATTTGGATGGCCTTCGTTCGGAGTCTGTTGTAATAGCTACCGTTTCTTCACTTTAAACTTCATTTGGAGTTTTTGACCTCTTTTCAGATTTAATCTGAACAAATTTTCCTCCTGAATGCCTACCTTAGGTTTGCCCCTGGACAGCCATTTCTGCTTAGGGCCACCACTCCGTTTTAGGTGCTGGCGAAGTTCTCCAGTGTTGGGATTTTCAAAGCCTTTCTGTTTTCATTCCATCTTCCCTTATATCCTAAAGATGCCAAAAGCACTTCCCTCTTGTTCGATTTTCACATAGGCCACAGGGACCTTCTTTTTCAGAAACTTCTCCCATTCGGAAAAATTACCGTAACCCACTTCTTCAGGCAATTTCCTAGGAATGGCAGAGCGCTCCTTTGCAAACTTCTGAAGCATCATTTTAAAATGGACACTCCACAGAGACAGGGCTTCCCAGCCATGGTTATATATATATATACATGTATGGAACTTTACACTTACCAAAGGCCAGTTCATCTGATACACAGGGAACATCCCTTTTTAATCTCTGAGTTCTGATTAAAATCAGAACACATGTGTGTGCATACATGGTATGTGCGTGTATGTGCTGGGGGTTGCTCAGTAGTGTGCTACAATGGAAACAGCTTCAGTTTTCTTTGCAATCTCAAGGTGACAGATACCTCTTATTACCAGATATTAACCATCAAAGTATACATGGCTTAGCACACGACCGTGGGGGTGCTTGATGTGGCTCCTTGCCTAGGAACAGAGGCGTCAGACTGTCAGGGACTGTGAGCCTTGTTCCCACCTACCACTTTCTTTTTCCATTGCCTTTTCTGGTCTTCCAGAGTAGCTTGCTATTTGATGAAGCAAGTTTCTCACTAGCGAACACTTCTTTGCTTACCCTGATAACTTGGGAACGATCTCCTGACCCTTCAGAATGGGAAAGGAAGAAGCCCCATTGGTTTGGTCAGTAGAAAAGCATTTGATGACAGCAAGGAGCGAGGGAGGATTTCTGGAAGTGGAGTGGCTTTGAGGTCTTTTCAGCCGTGGCATTATCCCCTAGTTCCTTTTCTCCGTGTGGCTTCCAAGCACAGTGTCGGAGGCAGCTGGTGTGTATAAGAAAAATATCCCAAGTCATGTGAGATGCAGCTGGACTTCCTGCTCACAGCCGTTGAGCAAGAGTTCTCCAGTCTTCAAATGAGGAAGCCCAGATCCCTTCCCTCTGCCTTATGTAAATCTTCTAGCTGATCTCCCAAGAGTTGCCTGTATCATATCTATAAAAAGCTGTAAAGTTCACACTCTAGAGGACTAAATCTGTGCTGGCCAATCTGAATGACTACTCAGTTATACTAGTTTAGGAAAATCCTGCCCCACCCTGACGATTCATAGTTTCCCTCATATTAGTGATCATCGGGTTTTTCTGCCCAGTGTTTGTATTGAAGATAACTTCCTCACCAGTAAAGACTTGAGGTAGCATTCTAGAACCCCAGTATTTAAACTAGCTGCTGTGGTAACGGTGGAACCCAGGCTTCTTGCTTTCAGTTTTCCCTACCTAGACAGAAAGAAATTCCAGAGGAAGAGTGGATGTAGAGCTCAGTGTTGGGTATGAGGCTCTAGTTTGCTAGATTGTTTGTAGCCATCCCATCTTCCCTGAGGTCTGTTAGACTGGTGTAAAGGACAGCCAGGATGGGCCAGTGAGACACGGAGGAGGAGGGTTTGGGTCACACGGAGGAATCCCTTTCGGTTCTTGCCATGGTCAGAAGCTCATAGGAAAGCCGTAAGAAAGAACAGACATGTAGAGAAGAAAGCTGGTCAGCCAAAGGACAGGGGCAATGCTCTCTTCTTGGATGCCAGCAGCAGCAAGCTGTGTTAACAATAGGGCTCTGTGCCATTGAGTTTGAGAGAGGGAAACTACATGACACTGGGACTTGGGAGCTGTCCTGCCTCTATCTAGCCAGCCAAAGTGAATGGGGTCAGTGTTAGCTGCCTTCATCTATGCAGTCACAAAGGTAAAGATGATACTGGGGGCATATTCCCTCCTGGGAGGCCTTGGCCTCACGCCTCAGCAACTGTGGCAAGACGTGCTAAATAACACCTTTGTTTGAGCCAGGGTTATGCATCGTCAACACTTTTATGCCAAGTCTAGGTGGTTTCAGATCAAGCAGCGAGGACGTGGACATGGACCATCCCTCTGTGCAGCTCTGAAGTAGAGCCAAGCACTCTGCCTGCCTGTAAGTCCCTGCCCACATTCCCTTCACTCCCCTTTCAGTTTTCTAAGTACTACCCCCCCACCCCCATGTCCTTTTGGTTTTGGGGGGCATATCAAAGTGAAGTGCACATGATCAGAAGCAGGCAACCACAGATTATGATTTATAGTAATAAGATGTGATTTGGGCTGAGCACATGATGAAGCAAGAGGATCACCAAATTTGAGGCCAGCCTGGTCTCACAATGAATTCTAGGCTAGCCAGGGCTACATCATTTAAAACCTGCATTTAAAACAAGAGAAAAAGAAAATGTGTTTTCATCTGTCCCGGAACTTTTGTAAAGATGCCTTCGGGAGCTCCTCGTGTTCCTTCCTCACAGCGTTTGAACCCGTAGCTCTTCTTCCCGATAATATCACCTGACCTTCTCCAGGGTCGGTTCCTGGTCTTGTTGCCTGGGTGATAAGGCAGTCACACATGTCGATCTAGCTGGTGGCTCTCTTGAATGATGGACTATTTGTGCTTAGAGGTTACCCACATTCTCTTGCTTTCTGTTATGTTAAAGACAGTGGTGGAAATGCTACTTATCAACAGGAGACATTAATAAGTCTTTGTGAATAATAAAAGTTTTGTTAAGAACTTTCTTACTGTACATTGGAAGTCATCTTTAAGATTAAAAGAAGAAAATGCCCTTAAAATTGAAGGATAACTTCATTGACTCCCTGTGTCTTCATTTCCTTGATTTCTTAGTAGAGGGACTTATCACTTGGCTGTGACCCAGGTAATAATTCCAGAGGCGAGGGAAAGCCTGCTTTCTGATATCTGGTCTGATTTCTAACAATGCCAATGAAGTCCCTTCTCAAGAGAGTACCCCCCCCCCCGCCGCCATAGTTAACGCTCCGATGGCCTCTTCTGAGCTTCTGCTTTACTCCACATAAACCCCCTGTCTTTGCCTCTTGTCCCCTCCTGGAATTATGCCCACCACTGACTCCTGCTCTAGCCCCTAATCCTTCTGTGGCCTCTCCAGCAGAGACTCCTCCTTAGAGTTTGAAAAAGAAAAATGATAACCCAGGAAACATAGTCTTTACAAAGCACAAAAAAAAAATGCTTTGCAATAGTCATTTAATAAGTTTACATATGATCTTAACCACAGACATGGGTGGATTCCATCCTGGGAAAAGTCAGAAGCCACAGGGAGTTGATGAAGAGTTATAGTATCAAGCTTAGAAGGACCAGACCAGCTTTGGAGTCTCTGAAAAGTAGATAGATCCCAAGGGGCTGTGAGTACACAAGAGCAGATAAGCATCGCTGTACAGCTTGGGGCTGGAGATAGGGAAATGGTGGGGCCCTGGAGAGGGACTTGGACAGATTAGGACAACAGAGGGGGAAAGGCTAAATCTAGGTCTGCCAGACACAGATTGCGACGTTGACATCAAATACAGCCACAGTGTGCAATTTTCAGAAAAATGAGCCCAGGTTTTTAACTGCACAGGAGACAAGTGAGCATTTTATGTTCTGTTACCCCAGTGACATCTTGAGCTAACAGTGGCCTTATCCTTTAGCTAAAGCTCCAGTGAGATGAGGTAATGTTTGCCCTTATTTACAGTGTCGTGGGAAGCTGCTTAAGAGCCTAGGAAAGAAGGATGAGACACTGAGTCACACTGACCCCTGCTAGATCAGAATCTAATCCCTACTTTGTTGTCTATTATGGGTTGTTAGATGGCTTTGCTTTTCTCCTCCTCCTCCTCCTCCTCCTCTTCCTCCTCCCTTCTTCCTTTGCTTTTTCAAAGACCCCAACTCTTAAGATTTTATGAAGATCTGCTTACTCAACAGTGGGTTGCTCATTAAGTCTTAATGCTGATGCAGTGGGGACAGTTCATCATAGAATTCTAGGAGGCAGAAAGACAGGTTAGCCTTTGTTTGGAGACCAGCGCTCTACCTCCTGGTACCCTCTGGCCAGCCAATCAGTCCTCTGTCTCCCTTATCTCAGTTTACCTGAGCTGGAAAGGAAGGCTGAGGCAGACCTAATTTTCCAGCCCCTGGTTCTGTGCCCTCGTCTGTGGCCAAGCTGACTTGGCTTGTGTCCCCTCTGAGGTCATTGCTCATTTATCATTTATCTCTGTAAAGTCTGCTTTCTCAAGAGCTGACAACTTGTTCTTTTCGTCCTTTGTAAGAACCGAAGGAAATCTGTCTAGTTGGCCTTTCTCAGAGGCATCCTGTCTGCCCGTGGCATCTGTTTGTTCACCCATGAAAAAGGAGCACATGGTGGATGTGATATCAGTCCATGTCCAGGCCTCCGAGAGGACAGCCGGGATAAACTGGGCAAGGACTCATTCTTTCCACAGCCTTGGGTCTAGATGTTGAGAGCCATGAGGTGCCTATTATATTTGTGCTATGAAAATATTTGTGCAAGGCAGGCCTGAAATCCTCAGCCTCCTCTTATTCCCTTGGCTTTTAACATACCTGACCTGGCTGCCAGGCCTGACATTGACCGTCCTTGACCTGCACTGTGTGTTTTTGTTGTTCATTTGCTCTGTTTTTTCCACTCAGAATTCCTTCACGTTGCAGTGACTGAATCAAAAAACCCAGACTTCCAGATAGATAGGCCAGTGTGCAAGAGGGCCCTTGGAGTCCCAAAGTGGGTCACTTCGCTTTCCTGCCTTGTTTGCCCCTGTTCCCATGAGTGGTTGGCGTACGTGGGGCCATTGATGGAGCTTAGTTGGCAGCAGTGGACGAGCTGGAGTCAGGAGATGGCCCCAGGGATGAAACAGAGTCCAGGTCTGTGCTGGTATATCCGTGGTGACCTGGCTCCAGTTCTCGCCGTTGGGTTACTTGTGGTCCTTTCTAGAGCAGTCTGCATATCCTTGGCTGCTCCCATCTGGTCCGTAGAAAGAAAATACTCTTCCAGGAGCACAAATCAAAATGGATGTGAAAGTCTACCTGAAGGATGGACTGAAGGCTGTCCCAGGGAAGGAACTAGCAGGTGCCTTTTCAGTGGAGGACAGGGGCCCCGCAGCAGAGATGTCCGTGTGACTCATCCAAATGGTAGTAGACTCTCCTCAGCACTGACTAATGGTGCTTTGAGTTGGTGGCAGAGGACAGAGGACCGGGGGAGGGGGGAGGCGGGGAAGAGGGGAGAAGGGAGGAGAATGTGCATCGGGCAGAATTGGCTGCCTGGGGCTGGGTGGGGCTCCTGGTGACTGGGATCAGATAGCTAGGGAAAACAGAGCAGTTACGTAACCGTGTTTACGGGAGCTCAGGTGGTTGTCCCTGAGACCCAGGGCCATGCCAGAGGTGTGCAGGCAGCTGACTAAGAGGGAAGGAGGTCCCTCTTAGACAGGAGGGCATGCAGGAGACAGAGGATGACATACTGGACTGACCAGGGCTGCACTATCTGCTGTTACCTGGCTCTGGAACGCCACTGGAAGCTGCCCAGCTGTGAGGCCGGCAGGCAGCGAGGGGCTGGAGCTAGGGGGAGGAGTCAGGAAACCAGACACCTGGCTCTGGGTCCAATCTCGGAACCTTGCTACGTTTTCTCCCTTTAATCTTCTTAAAACAGGAGGAATTCTCCTAAATATGGACAGAAAAGGGGGGAATTATTCAAGTTTCCTTGAATTCCTCTGACCTGTGGTCCTAGCGATCTTGCATCCTGTGTTTTGTGAGGCCATCCAGATACCAGAGAACACAGTGGGCTCCAGCCAGAGAGGTGCTGAGCCAGCCCAGGCCTGAGTAGCCAGGCAAAGCTAAGCAAAAACGCTCAGCTCTCCAGTGCACACACACACACCCCCTTCCTCCCCACTTGCGTCCTCTAAGACCGTTTACTGGACTCCTCATTCCCATAGAGATGGGACTGGTAGCCAGTCCTCAAGCTCCTTGCCCATGGCTGTACCTTCTCTTGTGAGAAACAGGAAGCTGGGACCTTTGGCAGCTCAGCGGCACCCTCTACATTAAATATTTATCTTGGAGCCCAGGTCAGAGCCCTAGAGCCTAAGAAGTTCGCTGCTGGTGAGGGGGATGGCCAGGATTCCTGGAGTTGGAAGATCTTCAGCTTCGTCATCTCTGGAGAACAAGGAAGACAATGAAAGTGACGTGGCCCTTCTTAGTCCCAAGGACCCTGACAGGTGGGAGAACTTGGAAGAGGAAAATGGGTAGTTCTTTCCCTTCCACGGGGAGGGAAGAGGCTACCTCCCTGGGGTGGATGGACGATTCCAGCTTCAGAGGGGCAGCATACTGCGTCTGACCTCAGAGAGGGTTTCAGAGCTCCTCCACTCCTTCTGTGGGCCTTGTAACCCACCCGACCCCTGTGCCTTCAGCTTTCTTAAAAAGGCAGGTGGATAGTCTCTAAAGAGACCTCATAGGACATCTCATTTAGCCCTCCTGAACTGTGCGATCCTTGCCCTTGTTAAAATACCTCACCACTGGGAACTGGAGCCCGGTTAGTAGGTTTACATCTGTGGAAGCCTGCCAAGCTTCTTAAGACTCGCACCCATGGGAGCCCTGGCACGTCCATCTCTTAAGCTGTTCCTTGGCCTAAGTTTTCCAGGAGATCTTTTTTGAGGGCAGCACCAACAGCTTCCCCCCCCCCCCCCCCCCCCACTGGGGGATGTGAAGGTAATAAGAGGCGAGGGTGCTAGGAGATGTGATGTGCTTGAAAACCACTAACACTCAGGGTGGCTCAGGCACCAATCAAACTGCAGTTGGAATCACCGACCATACCCAACACCTAGCTGAAGTGGATCAGAAACCATTTTTATTGGTTGGTTTGTTGGGGACTTGGGTATCCCAGGAGTGAGTCACGGGCTAGAAGTACTCCAGGGTTTCCATTGTCAGTAAACATTTGCCGCGGGCACTTGCCAGCCAAGAGACTGGAGGGGGGTGGGGAGGCGGGAGGGCCAGAGAGTACGGGCAGCCTGTGTGCGGTGTCCTTGGGATTCGCGTCAGCACAGCAGGAACAGCGGAAAAGCAGGATCAAAACAAATTCGGTGAATGGGAACACCAAGACCCTCCTAACCTCATCCCCGCCCAAGGGACCCCACCCTTATCCTCCAGTCCTGCGGCACGTCCAGGGTGCCGCTGGCTCTCTTAAGACAATTCCCTTCCCTAAACTCTGCACGTGTGTGAGCATCCTCACGTTTGCCAGTACACGCGTGTCTGTTCGAAAACGCCTGGCCGCGCACTTAGACGGGCACAGACTCTCTCCAAGTGGGCACTGCCTTCGCTCCGAGGCCACCCTGCCTGTTGTGGGGCTCCCTTATCTCGGTCCCAGCCTGTCTGCCTCCGGGCCTGTCTCCTGCCTCTCCCAGGCCGAGGGCTGCGTATCTAATGCTGGCTCCACCCGGCCTCTGGCACTATCTGCCCTCTGTCCTGGCTCTGCAGAACAGCTCGATTCCCACACCCTGGAAATGTCGCTGGAAACTCTGAGTGGCCCCCCACCAGCCCGCCCGCCCCCTTCCGACGCCAGCTTTGCGGTGGGGGCTCGGGAAGGCATCTGGGAAACCCAGCAGGCTCCCGTGGGACCCTCGGCGGCCCCTCCCGGCGCCGCCTCCTGGCCGGCCCGGCCCCTTGGGCAAGGGGCCACAGCGTCCCCGTGGCGCGCCTGCCGGACAGAGGGCACTCGCGGGAGGGAGGGAGTAGCCGGCCCCACCACACTCCACCGCAGCACAGTCCGGGCTCACAGTCCAGATCCGAGCCCCCAAACTCCTCCCGCCTCACTACTCTCAGGGTCCTGGCTCCCGGCGCTCCCCCTCGGCCTCCCTCTTCCTCGTTGGGCGCCCAGCCTGGCCCGGCGGCGTCCTGACGGGTCACGAGGGCCGCGACCGCCTGCACTTCTCCCTGCCCTCTTGCCCCGAGGGCTCTCCGCGGCTGCGCCAGGCAGGAGCCGGCTGGGATGCTCCTGCCCTCCTGGGCGGCCCCAGGCACCCCCGACCTGCTCGCCGCCGGGGGAAGGTAGGTTCGGGAACGCCAAGGGGCAGGAAGGAGGCAAGACACAGCTTGGGATGGACAGGAGCGAAGGCATAGGGCCCCGCCCCCGGGGCCCCAGCCCCCGAGGTTGTATGAAGTTCCACCACCCGCAATCCAGAAACGGTGAACTTGGAAACCCTGACCTTGTCTGTGGGGAGCTGTGGTTTGGAAAGACCTGGAAAAGCAGAGGACAAAGTCCCCACCATCAGGGCCTCACTATGAGGTGGGAAGGAGTCTACTAACCCTAGAAGTACTTCATTCTTCCAGCCCTTTGGAGAGAGGGCTGCTTGGGTGCAGGGGCTGCCTGAATTCTGGGAACGCACCAGAGGTGTCCGCACACCTGTTCTATGCTCGATAGATAGATCCCAGTTCTCCAGGAGGCCTCTGTCTTCCTTAGGTTCTGCCTGATGTCTCCAGGCAGGCCCACTGGGAGAAAAACCAGGACCATCTTCCTGCCCCATCCTACCCCTGTGTATTCTCAGGAGCACCTTTACATGGAGCTGAGTGGGAGAGGAGCAGATTGAGGTGTCCCAGGGTCTACAAAGCCTGAAAACAGGGGGTGATGGGGGTTTGAACCCTCTTCCCCGAAGAGGACGCTGGGTGGGACGCTAACATTAGGGAAGGAAGGAGGCCTGTCAGCTGATGGGTGCAGAACTGCTGATGTTCAGGGCATCTTGGCCTCAAGCCATCTGCCAAGCAGGGAGGGGTAGATAGCTCCACCGCTAGTCTGCCCGGGCCTCCTCGGTCTTCAATCCCACCTTGCCTCACTTTCCCTCGGCGGAAGGCCAAGCATCCGAAACTGGGGTGTGTGTGCGCGCACGGTTGGCTTTTGGTAAGAGCTCTAATTGGATCCAGCTGGTGGGCCGCGCCTCCTCCAGACTCAACCTCCCCTCCCTACAAACTCAGGGCTTGGCGGGGTCCCCAGTAGGCTGCTCGGATGCCAGAAGGAACCCCCACAAATGCAGACCAGAGAGGGTGCTGCCCCGGCCTCCTTTGCATCCTTGCCGGCGCCTGCGCAGGAACCGAGTATGGACGACAAGGAACCACAGGCCTCTCTTGCGCGGCTTCACCCCCTCGGCCCCCCACAACTCTTGTGCTGTTCACATGACGGCTTGCTGCACACACTCCTGCTGGCGTTCTTTTCATCTTACTCCCATGCTGCTCACATGATCCACCCTGCTCCCCACCCCGCTCCCAAGTCATATTCATCGCCCTGAATATATTCTGCCCTGCACAGGACACCTCCCGAGGTATCTGGTGTCCTTGCTTGGAACCGCCACCAACTCCACAGGCACATACAAGCCTGATGTGGCCTAGTCCAAAAGGTGGTGTAAGTTTATCCTACTGGGGCCCCATCCAGCCATGAAGATGAAGAGGCCCACGATTCTGGACCACGGCTCTCTGGGCACCAAAGCTCTTGGGTGCTCTTGAACCATGACCTCTTCGTCCTCTTGTACCCATCTCTGGGTTCCCCCTTTGCTTGCCTCTGTCTCCCAGGTGCTCTGCGCTCCCTTATGCTGACCCTTGCGTGAGGCAGAGCAACCTACTGGTTTGTCAGACGTGGTTCTGTCAGCCGGGGAGGATGGGTACAGGAGGGTTCGTCCGTGTGCATGTGTGCAAGAGAGCAGCTTCCAGCTCTCAGCCCCACTCCCAGGGCAGGAGCAGGTCCTCCTGGGTTGTCATCTGGGGCTTGGCTTTCTATCCACCCGCCACTGGCCCTGAGAGTTCTGGAGCTGTGATCTGCTCAGGCAGGAGGCCAGCAGGTAGTCCGAATTCCCTTGATCCCAGAAGGAGTGACTGCCCTGCCTGGCCATGCTTCCCAGGCTCTCCTTGGCCCTGCTAGGGATGAGGGCATTGCTGGCTGCTTCCTGTGGTCAGCAGATAGGTGGCCTTGATATTGGCTGTCCTTGTGCCTGTGGGCAAGCAGATGCTACCCGGGGCGTGAAGGTGGCCGAAGAATAGAAACGAAGTCCTGTGAGCCTGGGTCCTCTCTGCCACCTGCCCTAGTTCCCCGACGCCTTCCCTCTAGGGGAGCTGGCTCTCCTGGCACGGAGAGCCCCAGAGGGGTGGTCAGCAGGCTGCAGGCCTGGCCAGCCTCTCTATCCTCCTCCTTGCCTGGCTTCCCCTCCCCCACTCCCACCCAGCGCTCCTGCCCCAGGCCTAACAAGCAGTCCATTGTGCCTCTGGGAGTCTGCACTGGCAGCCTGCAGGCGGGTGCCCAAAGCCGCCTGTTTCCTGGGCCCTTGAGCTCCCACCCAGCTGGCCATAATCCCCTCCCACAACCTACCTTCCTCCCCCACCCGTGGGTTGAGTCAGGAGGGCCCAGGCAGTCCAGCTCAGCAAGGCTTTCTCTTCCTTCCTCCTTCCCTGCAGAGTCCACACCAAGGAGCAGCTGGCACATCCTGCGTCCTCCAAACTTGACCCAAGCATGCAAGGCCTCCCTGCTGGGCCCAGCCTGGATGATTTAATTCCTAGCCACCTCCGAGCCTATATAGGCCCATCCTCCCGGGGGAGCAGGGTGAGTGAACAGCAAGGAAAAGGGTACCCTGGTGGGCCAGCAGTTGATGGGGACACTAGCAGGCCAGGTGAGGGAGCAGGGGACAGAGAGGGGGAGGAGGGAAGACAGCCTGAAGAAAGATCCAGAGAGCCTCCATGGCTTCCTCAGGAGGCCAGACTGTGGCTATGCCCCGGCTACCATCCCTTCCCACTCCAGTGGAACCTCTGGGCCCTAAGCTTGCTGGCTCCTGGCCCCTCTCCACAGGTGCCCGTGATCCGGAATGGTGGCTCCAACACCCTTAATTTCCAGTTCCATGACCCCGCACCCAGGACTGTGTGCAATGGCTACGCTCCACCCAGGAGAGATGGTTCCCAGCATCCAGGTGGGTCTGCGTGGGAAGATCTGCTCTAGGAACACTGTGCAGGGGACGGGAAAAATATCCTGTGCCAGATGGAAAGGAATAGATCTTTCAAGGCCAGGAGACGGTCCCCCGGGGAACTGTGAATTCAGCTTAGGGTGCTCTGGGTAATCATGCTTATCCTGAGAAAGGAACCTTGAAGAGAGAACAGGCTGACACAGCCCTTCCCTCCCTCTTGACAAGGGAAGGATGTGTACAGGGAGCCCTGGCCTTAGGGGTCAAGGGAACTGTAACAGGGCCAGTGATTCAAATGGGAGGGTGAGATGTGCTAGCTTAAGAATGAACAGGGACTGCCCACTCCCTCCCCCCAGATACTCAGGACTCTCGTGCAACCCAAAAGGACACGGGGATGCAGCTTTTGAGCCTGCCATCTGGGCCCTAAGGTCTCTGAGCTCCTGGGGACTCCTCAGTACAATCCAGCCCTGGGAGAGATGGCATCCTTTATTGAGCATTCATGCCCCTGAGTCGGACACTGTGCAAAGGACCTCAGTCATTTAACAAGTGATTATTGGACACTTAACAGCAGGGCAACACTGTACAGACATTCCACAGGCCTCATCTCATCTAATCCATCCATATCCAAGCAAGGTCCCAGTCGTTTATGGGCATCTTCCCAGTGGGCTTCCAGTCTCAGAGATGCTCGGAGTAGATGAGGTTGCATTGAGATCCACTCCCTTGATCATCCTGGCCTTGAAGCATTTATGCCATTAGACGAAAGTACTTAGAAATGAAATGTTCTGGGGAGGTGGGGGTGGGGGTGGGGGGACGGACCCACGGGGAGTTGGGGACACAGAATACATGCCTGGGGGATGAGTTTCTGACTCTCTGAGGGTCATTGTCATACGGGCTGGGTACAGTGACAGGGACTAGAAGTCACCCCGTCTTTGCTGAAGTCACCCTCTCCTTTAACACAAGTAGAAACTGAGGCACCAGGAGGGCGACCCATGGGCCTAAACTTAAACAGCCGGCATCTGGCAGAGCTAGAGTCAGACTTCTGAGTTCGTCCAATCCCATTCCCCCACCAACCCGCCTGCAGCCCGGAATCATTGTCTGGCCACACCCTAGGTGGGATGTCCTCAGCATTTATTGCAAGTGATGATTCCCAGCCCTCCTTCTGCAAACTCTTAGGACAGTCCTAGGAAAACAGAATTGGGTGGGGAGAGATACAGATTGCTCCAAACAAAACCCTTTTAAAATTCATTTTGAAGAACCAAACAAGTGGAAGCCTGGGGCGCTGCTGGGGATGGGGAGCTTTGTGGCCTGTTCACATCACACAGCCAGATAAGGAGGGGTGGAAACTGAACTCACAGGGATCCATGTCCTGAGGAGACAACCAAGGTCAGGTGGGGACCCCTGCCTTTCGGCTAATGTCCCTACACACCTCTCACAGACCCAGCATGGTATCAGACCTGGCCAGGCCCTGGGAGCCGGCCCTCTGCCAGCCCGAAGCAACCTGCCTCCCAGCATGCCCAGAACTGGTCAGCCACCTGGAGCAAGGACAACAAGAGACGGGACAAGCGCTGGGTGAAGTACGAGGGAATCGGGCCCGTGGATGAGAGCGGCATGCCCATTGCCCCCCGATCTGTGAGTCCAGGGCTGGGGGTCACAGAGAGAGGGGGCCCAGAGACCCTCCTAAGTTCTCTGTCTATGACTATAATAGGGGTGAGCATTGAAGGCGAAACCCACACCTTGTGTGTCTGAGTCAGCTGTGACGTGGTACAGATCTCAGCATTGGAAAGCTACCACTGTAAGGGCTGAACCTAGCAGGGATGCCTCTTAGTTTTGCACCCCAGTGGCCTGGCGTAGCACCCACAGAACAGCTGCCCACTGACTGGCTGAGTGAGGGAGTCCTGAGCGATTGCCCCTCCTGGCATGGCAGGCAGGGAAGGATCCTGTGTTCCACCAGGACTCCGGGGGGCCCGACCTTCCCTTCCCTCCGTATCTTGGGGCCAGCCATATTTCCTCAGTCACATACTCAGGAATGCTTTGTAAGGTCCAGATGTGGTGGGCTAGGTGAAATGCCCTCTCTCTCTCCCTACGGTGTTACTTTTGTTTCCTGATGTAGAAAGGAGCGTTGTAGAAGCGTCGGGAATGCAGAAAGAAGGCTGAGGAGATAGCTCAGCCAGTACAGTGCTTGTCACACAAGCATGGGGACCTGAACTCTAGTCCCTGGAACAACAACAACAACAACAACATTAAATTATTTAAAATTTAAATATTTTATTACTCATAATAATATCTATTACTATTAAAATAATTTAAGATTAAATCATTTTAAATTAAAAATTTTAATTAAAATTAACATTTTTTAAAATTAAAGTAAATTAAAAAAATTTTTTAAAGGTAGGCATGGTAATACATACTTATAATCCCAGCACTGGGAAGGGGAGACAGGAGGATGTCTAGGGCTCACTGGCCAGCCACTTTAGCATACTTGGTGAGTTCCAGGCCATTGAGAGAGACGGTCCCAAAAATCCAAGTGGACAAGCTGGTCATAGTGGTGCACATCTTTAATGCCAGCACATGAGAGGCAGAGGCGGGCAAATCTCTGAGTTCCAGGCCAGCCTGGTCTACAGAGTGAGTTCCAGCCTGGGCTGCACAGAGACCTTGTCTCAGAAACAATAAACGAGTGGATAGTGTCTGAGGGATAGTACCTGAGGTTGACCTCTGGCCTCCACATGCGTGTGAATTCACACACATACAACCACACCTACACCCACACAAACATGTGCTCACGTGCGTGCACTGTGCACGCACACACAGATATGTAAAAGCACAAAGAATAAAAATGTGAATCATTCTGCCTCTCACAATGGAGGGTCATCACCCTATACACTGAAGAGAGTCCTTCCATATACCACATGCCACATGAAGTTGCCACAGGAGGAGCTGGAGAGAAGGCTCTGTGGATAAAATGCTTACCACACAACTCTGTTAAAACTAGGTGCTGCGTTATATGTCTACAGTCCCAAAGCTGGGGGGTGGGGGCGACCAGCAGATCCCAGTGGCTTCCTGGCTAGCCAGGCTAGCAGAAAGAATGAACTCCAAGTTCAGTGAGAGACCCTGTCTCAAAAAGTTAGGAGTGGTGCCGCCCGCCGCCTTTAATCCCAGCCCTCAGGAGGCAGAGGCAGGAGGATCCCTGTGAGTTCCAGGCCAGCCCAGTCTACAGAGTGAGTTCTAGGCCAGCCAAAGGCTACCTAGTGAAACATTGTCTCAAAAATAAAATAAAATAAAAATAAAGGGCTGAAGAGATGGCTCAGGGGTTAAGAACACTTGTCTTGCAGAGGACCAGGGTTTGATTCCCACATGGTATAGTTCACCACTGGGCATAACTCCGGTTACAGGGAATCCAACACTCTCTTCCATCCTCTGAGGAGGCAAGTAAAACACTCACACATTAAAAACAAAAGCAAAAACAAAAAAACCTTAAAAAAAAATAAATGAATAAAAATAAATTAGGTAGAGAGCTGGTGAAATGGATGAAGTGGATACAGGCACTTGTCATCATTCCTGACAACCTACGTTTGATTCCTAGACCTGGACAATAGCAGGAGAGAATCTATTCCTATAAATTGTCCTCTGATCTCACACAAGTGGGTGTGGCGTGTGCAGATCCCACCCCCAGTAATAAATGAAAGAAATATAAAAAAAAAACATGGTGGAGAACAATAAACCTCAGCCTCTTACACACACACACACACACACACACAGGCACTCACACACCACCACCAGAGACATTCCTCAGACGCAGGCCATCTACATGGATTTCGAGGTGCCCAGAGAAAGGTCTCATTAGGAAAGTTGTCACGTCTTGTTCTTGGGAAGGATGGGTGACCAGGGAGGCCTGAGAATGGTGGGTGAGCAGGGAGGCCTGATTTTGATTTTCTGATCTCAGAGTGTTGACAGCCCCAGAGACTGGTATCGGAGAATGTTCCAGCAAATTCACCGGAAAATGCCAGGTTAGACACCCTCCCAGAACCCAGTGGACTTCCAACAATATGGAATTTGTGGGAGGAACAGAAAGGAGGGTTTCTTTGCTTATGAGAGTCTCCTGAATTATGAGATGTTTCTCTCTCCAAGCTCTAAGGTGAGTAGTCCTGAAAATATCCACACATACACCCCCTAAACAAGTTGCTGCCTATAACACCAGCATTCAAGGAGGCAAAGGCAGGGGGATCACAGATTTGAGGCCAGCTTAGGCTACAAAGTGAGACTCTGTCTCAAAAATCTAAAAAAGAAATGGGCCAGTGGGAGGAGAGGGAGGGAGTTTCTGTTTCACCAATGCCGGAGGCCAACAGTGGCCTCCAGAACATCCTTGGGTGGACAGTGACTAGCTGAAACTTCCTGATGTCCTCTGGGGGCTTCCTGAGATCCCTCTGAGTGTCTGGTGAGGCTGCAATGCCACGTGTGGTGGTCCTTCCTCCACGTGAAACACTGGTGTCTTCTGAAAGCCTGAATGCAGCCAGCCCTGAGCTGCACATGAGCTCTCCACAGGCTCTCTGTGCCCTGGATCAATCCTTGCCTGTCTCTCAGGACCTACTGAACAGTGTTCTAGGAAGATGCACAATAAGCAGACAGTGGAAAGGGCTAGAATAAAAAGAAAGAAGGCTGGGGAGCGGCCAATGCAGCTAGGCTGAGACCTCACCCAGAACAGGCAGGGAAGAGGCCCTTGAGCTAAGCCCAGAAAGGGTAGGGAGGAATGTGGCAGCAGAGGATGCTCCAAAGACCCAGCAGGGGAAAAGCACATCTGGCCCACTCCTGGACTGGAGAGGGGACTCACGTAGGAGACACCATTAGAGGCGACAGGATCAGGTCTTGTGAGGCCTGGAGTATCCCTAGGAGGACTTTGGCCTTTACCAGACAAGAAACCTGGAACCCCTGGGCCGTTCTGAGCAGCAGAGTGACTGTTCTGACAATGGGGGCTGGAAGGATCTCCATTCCAGTGCACACTGCCAGACACAGAAGAGAGGGTGGGAACCAGGGGACCAGTTCCCCTGACTGGCAAGACTGGGAGGAAAAAGGCCGTCATGGAAACTGCTATGGTCCAGTCTACACCTAGCAGGGACCCAGACCGGGGCAGTGGGCAGTAGGGTGGGGGTGGGGAAATCCAGGGGATTCCAGGCGGAGTCTTGGAATTTGCGGATGATTGGACAGGACTTGAAAGGACAGCCTCAAGAGTGAATGTAAACCTGAGCACATTGAAGGATGAAGCTGCTGTTTGGCTTCCTTTTTATTTTTCAGACAGGGTCTTGTGTATTCCAGGCTGGCCTTGGGCTCGCCATGTAGCTGAGGCTTGCCTAAAGCTCTCAGTCTTCCTGCCTCAGGAGTCACAGGAGTGTGCCTGCCTTTGGTGCTGCCGTGTGTGTGTGTGTGTGTGTGTGTGTGTGTGTGTGTGTGTGTGTGTGTGTTTTAAGAAAAAGGGAAGACTGCAAGACTGCAGTGGGAGCCGGTTTAAGAGGCATCTGAAGCTTGGTGTGGTGGCACATGGCTTTAGTCCCAGCACTCAGGAGACAGAGGCAGGAGGATCTCTGTGAGTTCGAAGACAGCCTGGTCTATACAGGGAGTTCCAGGACAGCCAGAACTACACAATGAGTCCTTGTCTCAGGAAACAAAAAATAGAGGCTTTTTGTTTCCGAGGCATGTCACACCTAAGTGGAGTAGGCAGAGGAATGTCCAAGGCTAGTTCAAGGGCAAGGTCTGAGCTGCACATGGAAATACCCAGGACTCTCGAAAGAGATGGTGAGTTCTAGTTCTCGAGGCAATTCTAATTTGTTGTCTTGGCTTAGCCATAAACTAGAAGTGTGGGGCTAGACTGCACCATCCTTCTTCTTTAGTATCCAAAGGCGATTGGTTCCCCGACCCCCTCCAGATGTTGAGAACCCTGCAAGAACAAGCCCTTTGTATAAAGTGCCATATCCAAAGCTATGGCTGCAGGACTCTACGGTGGCTCACTCAGGAAGCTGAGGCAGAAAGACTGTCATGAGGTCTAGGCCAACCTAGGCCATGCTATGAGGTCCTATCTCAAAGAAAAACTGAAAATGGGCTGACAAGATGACACAGTGGGTAAAGGATGCCTGACAGTCCTCCCGAGACCCACAAAATGGAAGGAGAGAACCGACCCTGACCCTCTGACCCTCTGACCCTCACACTCGTGCTGTGGCATGCATGTGTCTTCACATACACACGCAAATGTTTCTAAGAAAAACAAACAAAAACTCTGAAGGGGCTGGAGAGATAGTTCATTGGTTAAGTGGCTGGTCTCCTAAAAGACCCGGGTTCACTTCCTAGAACTTACATGGCAGCTCATAACTCTGTAACTCCACTTGGGGGGGGCGGAGCTGGTACCCTCTTTTGATCCCCATGGGGAACCAGACACACAGGTGGTTTGCAGACATACATACAAATATAATATAAAGTAAATAAAAAACAATAAAACGTAGGTATAAGTATTCATATTTGCATCCATCTGCATATATCCTCTCATTGACCTTAAAATACTTCCAGATTGCTTATATGTGATACAAAGTAAATGCCACATCAGTGGCTATACATACACTATACTGTGTGGTTTAGGGGACAATGACAAGAAATAAGTCCATGTGCATATGCAGCACAGATGTGGTTGTATTTTCAAAGTGGGCCTGATTGAATCCATGGGTGTAGACGCTGTGGAAACAAGGCTGACTGTGTTTGAAAAGCCTTCAGAAACTAGCCAAGATCACAGAGGGAGATGAGAGAGCCTTAGGACTGAGCTCCCCAGGCGTGGGTTCTGAAAAGCCTCAGAGATGAGAGGAAAGCAGCCTAGAGCCGCTTCCAGAGACGGAGAGGGAGAGACCAACAGTCTCCCTGCAGTCACATGAGGAAAGGAGTTCCCGAGGGAAGAGCTGTGATAAATGTTAGATGACTTTGGAGAGGACCATAAGACTGGGTGCCGTGGAGGTCCTGAGCCCTTGCTCAGAGTGGTTGAGGCAGGGGTGGGAGCAGCATGCCTGCTGGGAAGGAGGAGTGAGGACTGGAGATGTGGTGATGGTCGCTGTGAGGAAACTCAGGCACCCCAGCCGCAGCGGGAGGTGAAGGCAGGCTCCTGAGAAAGGTATTTGGGTTTTAGAACCGCTTACCAGATGCCTTCCTCACCCCACACCCCTGAAAGTCCTGAACACTGGGAGGTGTGGTTCTGGGCAGAGAAGTAAGAAAGAAGGAGGTGCAGGTGAGGAAGGGAAACAGAAAGGAAGCACAGCTTCCACAAGCTGGCATGGCCAGGCCAAGCCTCCAGAGGTCAGGAGAGGGTGTGTGTGGGAATAAATCAGGAGGGTGTGGGTACCGCCCATTTGGCTCTCCCAGGCCCCAAGTCTGCCAGAAGCAGGCATTTCAAGCCCTCCCAAAGGCTGCCCTCCTAATTCCTTCCCTCCCTCGGGACATTCTTCAGGCCCTGACTCAGCCCTCACCCTCTGCTCCAGGCAGAAGGGAGGCTGGGAGCAGCTAGGCAGGCTCCTGGAGCGCCCTGTCCTCACTCTGTGTCCCATTGGTGACCCAGTCCTTTCCATTCTCCAGACCTGCAGCTGGACTGGACCTTGGAAGACCCACCCAAAGGTGAGAGATATGGGTTCACTGTCTGGGTCTGGGTCTGGGTCTGGGTCTGGTGACTTGTGACCTGGCCTTGAGGGCTTCCCGGGTGGTGTGGTTCCACACAAGAAGATTTTAAAGGCCACTTCCGGGAACACTAAATCCCCTGGTAGGAGGTGACTAAGACTTCCTTCACTGCCCAGAAAGCCCTTGTTTTTGCCATCTGCTGCTGAGCAGACTTCCCTGGGCCTCTCTTTTCGTATCTGTGGAATGGGTGTACTACCCGCCCCAAACTGTTCTGAAGAGTTTGTATCCTAAAGCTCTATGTACAAAGCCCACGTACTAGCCAGGAGCCCATCTCTGTCCCTGAGAGCCAGGAACCCAGGTGTTAGGGTGGAGGTGGGTGCCACAGCCTTAAATAGTCGCCCACCCTAGCCCTTGTCTGTCTTCTCTCACCTCCAGGGGTGTCCTCGCGTGCCTCTTCTGCAGACCCAAGGCATCCAGGGCCCCAGCAAAGACCCGCCTCCAGGCCTGGCACAGCAGTGACTGCTAACGGGTGAGCTGAGCCGTGGGCAAGCCGCGTAGAGACTAGTGTCCCCTTGTGGCCAAAGCTGGCACAATGTGGGACTGACAAGGAAAGGTCTATTTCTCCACTGGTTCTCCAGGGGCTCAGAGCGCTTCCGCTCCTAATGTGCATCAGGAATCAGACCCTCATAGAACCAGAGACCATGAGTGGTGTGTGTGTGTGTGTGTGTGTGTGTCCAGGACACTGGGGATGGAAGCTGTTAAGAGCAGCGTGGTCATGTGGCCTTCCACTTTAAAACCCGAAAGAAATCCAATAACATAGGGAAAAGAGGAAATTCCTTCCCCTGGACTGAGTGCTCGCCCAGGTGCCGCAGGAACTCGGCTCTCTGGTTAAGTACACTAGGCATGTGCGCCTTTACGGAGTAGAATTCAGTTCTCTGGCATAGCCATCCCTGACCTGTGGTCTTTGTCATCAGTGAGGTAGGGAGAGGAGGTCCAGATTGGACCCAGAGTTGAGGTCCAAGTCAGCCAGCTGCCACTGGCCATTCGACCTTGGACCTCACGTCTCCATCTTGTTAGTGCGGATGGTGGGGGAGATTGTGAGGACTGGGTAAGCCCGTGTATGCCCCTTGCATCGTGGTTGGCACAGAGCAGGTCTGCAAACATTCTAACACACAGGTTCCCATAGGATGAGAGCGTCCTTCTACTGCCAACAGCACATTCCATTCTCGTGATCACCTTTTTATTATCAAAATGAGAGCAGAGTCGTAATTATAGGCAATGAATCCTCACCCTGTGGTCAGACATGCCATCATTTGATAAGCTCTACTCACTTGTTCCATGGGTAACTTTCAGACTAAAACTAGAGGCTGGGACATGAAAGCCAGCCAGAAAAGGAACCCTAGAGGAGAGCAGAGGCAGCAGGGCATTTCAGTGACTGAGGTGGCCACCTAGGTTTTATTGCCGAATCTAGGCTCCGTAACTTGAGTCCCAGAGACCCAAAACAATTGTCCAGAGATGTGTATAGTCTTACATCCTGGGCTATGGTTTGTAGGTTGACTTTTCTGGCCTGCCAGTCAATTCCCAAATAACCACACAGAGACTTATTAATTACAAATGCTTGGCCAATATCTCAGGCTTGTTACTAACTAGCTCTTACATTTTAAATTAACCCATATTTCTTATCTACGCTCTGCCATGTGGTAGTACCTTTTTTCTTTTTTCTTCTCTTTTTTCTCTTTTTTTTTGATTTTTCGAGACAGGGTTTCTCTGTGTAGCTTTGCACCTTTCCTAGAACTCACTTGGTAGCCCAGGCTGGCCTTGAACTCACAGAGATCCACCCGGCTCTGCCTCCCAAGTGCTGGGATTAAAGGCGTGTGCCACCACCGCCTGGCGGTGGTACCTTTTTTCAACACAGCAAGTTCATTTTGTTCCTCTCCATGTTTCCTCTCCACTACTGAGACTCCTCCCTTCTTCTTCCCAGCATTCTCTCTGCCCCCAAAATCCTGCCTAGCCACTGGCCAATCAGCTTTTTATTAACAACGAGAGCAACACATCTTCACAGTGTATTATTCCACAGCAATGATGTATAATACCACTTGGCTATGGAAAGCCAGCTGTACTGGTACACAACACACCAAACACAAACACCAGATACTTTTGCCAAGGCTACAAGAGAGATCCTGGCCGCCCACGGATCAATGTTCATAGGCCTTCTGCTGGGCACCTAGCATCCACTCTTGCATGTCACTCCTGTTTTACTGGCGTTGAGCCCAAGGCTCCATACAGCTTGTCATAGCTCCGAGGTTACATAGCTCCTAGGTGAAGGTGGTAGATGTAAACCTAAATTCACACACTGCCTGCTCTATGACACTAATTCCACAGTAAGGGGGGCAGATAGACTCCTTCTGTGGGAGTGGAGACAGTGGTGGAGGAGAGGGGTGCAGCCCCTTCTCCTCTGGTTACATTCTTCACCCATGCCTCGGTTTTCTAAAAGGAAGCTGAAGTGGTATTTTCTCTTTCTTCAGAAGACACTGGAACCACTCTGAAGAGACATCTAGAAACACCTTTAACTATAATTTCAGACCATCCTCTTCGGGGCTCCAACCCCCAAATCAGGTAGAGCACCCTGCTCACAAACACCACCATCCCCAGCTGCACGCTCTCCAGCCATACCCATCTGATGACACTGAGCAGATAATTCCCTGATTTGGGCTTTCATACTAAGGGAGGGACCCATGGGGATGTCAGGGAAGACAAGGCCTGCCTTTAGACTGTAGACCCAACCCTAGTTAATGGCCCTTCACCCAAGCCGATGGCCACTCACATCCATGCAGGTGCCCAGACGTCGAGAGAAAGTAGAGGATGTCTGGACAGAAGACTCTTGGAACCAGTTTCTGCAAGAAATAGAAACTGGGCATAAGGTGAGAGTTTTGGCAAGATCCTCTAGGGCTGGACACACCCCTCAGTGGGAGCCTGTCCCAAGGGAGTTCATCCTCTTTGATGTACCCTTTGTACCCTGCAGCCCAAGAAACCACTGGTGGATGACCCTGTTGAGAAACCTGCACAGCCCATTGAGGTGAGTGCTGCTGGATGGGATGATGGAAAGACATCAGGGTCAGCAGTAAACAAGGATGACTCCCAGTATTGTGGTCTTAGCCATGGACCCAAGACTCTTAACTCGGCCCGGTCCCGTACATTTTCATCTCTATCCCTAGCACCAAGGACAGTGCCTGTATGCAGTAGATGATTAGTAAACACACACAGAATCATATATATCAGAGCAGGAAGAGACTAGTCAGTGTGAACTGGAGTTATCAAAGGTACTTGTGAAATGGAGCTGAGTTTGGCCAGGCAGAGAGACGGCCTCTCTAGGAAAAGGTGTAAGAAGAGATTGGGGTAGGGGGAATGTGTACCTGAGTCTCTCTCTCTCTCTCTCTCTCTCTCTCTCTCTCTCTCTCT